ATTTTCTATATTTTTCTTTAGTTAATTTTTAAAATTTAAAATTTAAAAAAAAAACTAAACTAAACCCTACTGAGTTAGAGACCACTTTTCACACGTCTCTTTGCCTCCCCCAATTCTCTCTCTCCCTCCTTCCTCTCGTCCCCATCGCAGGTGCTTCGCCGGACTTTTGCCACTGCTCCACCAGACTTCTAACGTCATTCCGCCAGACTTCTTCAAATCAGGATTTGTTTATAATCGTCGGTTCTTGTATTTTTTCTTTCACATCTGTTCTATTATCCATGGCAATCTCATCATCTCCATTATTTTCAATTTTAATCCTATCAAATTCCAGTTCAACAACTTCATCTTGATCAATAACTTCTAAACTTGCAGAAATATTTAAATATTCTTCCATTCCTACATCATATAGGACATGAGCTTATGATACATACGCATATAATACCAAAATTTCAATACTACAGTGAGTCAATTCATCTAATGACTAAAAAAAGAAGAAGAGAGAATTATAAACAAATTAACCTATCAAAAACATTAAACTAAAAAGAGAAACAACATAAGGCAAAAAAGAAAAAGAAAGTTATATCTCAATGGTATGCTAACCAAAAAACCAGAGAAGAGAGAGTTGAGCCCGTGATTCAAATTTTTGAATACCCAAATCATAAATACAACCAGGAGTGGTAGTTATGCTACCATGATTCAAGTTATTACAGGTTCTTAAGAAAAGCATGTTTAACTAGTAAAAAAAAAACTTAATTTGAATACTGATTGAGACAAATAAATTAACGATTCAGCAACGTGTGTGAGAAGAAAGCATTCATCCAAAAAAAAAAAGAACAAGGTAAGCTAAACAGAAAAAGAATGTTTGTAACGAAGGTTTACTAACCTAAAACCGTGGAGGAAGGAGTAGAGCGGAGGAACAACGTCAAAAGTCTGGCGGAGCTGTGGCGGAAGTCCAGCCAAGCACCTGCGATGGGGAGAGGAAGGAGGGAGGGAGAGAATTGGGGGAGGCAGAGAGACGTGTGAAAAGTGGTCTCTAACTCAGTAGGGTTTAGTTTTTTTTTTTTAAAAAAAAATTTATAAATTAACTAAAGAAAAATATAGAAAATATTATCTCCTTAAAAAAAAACTAATATAATTTTAATGAGGTGGTTGTCCACATCAGCTGCCATGTAAGATGGTATTAAAATGTGATAGATTTATGTGGTAAGCATAGCATTACCCTATATGGAATATTGTTAGATGAAGACAAGGATGAGAAATGGTGTCTAATGTTTTCTTTTGCTTTGGTTTTTTTTTTTTTTGGGTGATTAGGCAGAATTGTGCCGTCAATGGATTTTCTTAAGTCATGGATTTGTAGAATGTGATACATATGGTAAACATAAGAATAATCGGTTGGCTCTATTTAGACTATGATAGATGATCGACTGAATAATCGGTTTTGGGGAAGACAAAAATGAAGTCAGTTTTATTACTGATTACGGAGAGTTTTTGGATTAAGAAACAAACAGGATAGTCTTGGTAGGAATATGTCGATTTCAAAAAACAATTTGATTTGTTTTCAGCTGGGTCTGAAATCCCTACATACACAAAATATTCGTCTTTTCTTGTTTTCTTCCCTTTTCCGCATATGATCATCTTCATCTCATTCTAACCTGTGTTCTTTCCAGGGAATACCACCTGCAAGTAAAGCATTGGATGGCTCTAATCTCACATCTGAACACCACAATTCATGAAGCATCTTCGAAGTAACCAATCCTCCTCATACCTATCTATCGTATTTATGAAAAACCAAACAACTAGGCCCGGAAGCTAAAAACATAAAATATGTGTCAATCTTCATATTTGCCTACCAACTGTAGAAGACTATTGAACAGAACCAGAAACCTTTAGTCTTGGTATCAGTGGTTTCTTCTTTGAAAAGGTTTAGCGCAGGTCTAAATTCTAACTAGTTAATGAAACAATTGTGCAAGATAGAGTGTAAGTGGCACTGAGATAAGTACAAACCATAATCCATAAAAACACTACATATATTGTACAAATAATAATCCGTTCAAATTTTATAAACATACCGATACTCAGTCTCCTCCACTCCATAATCAAGGTGAAGAAAATGAATACGCGAAACCACTCCATCCACATCACCATCCTTCATGCACTCTTTCATAGCATCCAAGTGAACTAACTGAACACTCCTTTGTATCAAACCGAGAACCTTCAAATCCTCCTTGGACATTTCCCCTGCATTTTCATCCCTCCTCACAGTTATTGCTAAACCCGAAGAATCATTACCCCTCCCATCCCCTCACTTGGCTCTGTATATTCCAACACAACGCGTCAAAAACATCACGGTTCTCCCAAACTACGCTCCTCAAACACATCAATTCGCCTTCCTCAATAGATACAACGCCTGCAGCCTCATTTTCACTCCCACCATCAGTATCAGCAGCACCTACTACTACGGAGTGTGGCTTCAATCTATTTACGCCCAATTCCAAAACCCTATCCAAAATTCTCACACAGCTATCCAATTCACCACTAGCATCTCTCAAATCCTTGCCAGTATCCTCACTCTTACCCAAAAACTCTGCTCGCTCTTCGAAACTCTCGCTCTCGCTTAACCCTTCTTTCTCCTTCTCTTTCTCTATGCTCTCCAAATCAAAATTCTTCCGCATACTCTCCGAGACGCGGTCGATCAAATTCTGAACTAACTATACTGTTTTTGACCCTTGGGGGCCGAATCGCTAGGCGGTAGGTGGATTTTTATTATTATTTATAGATAGTATATACGATGGATTTTTTAAAAATAAACAAGAGTATAGCCGAACGGCTATACTATTTTATTCCATGATATTTATTTAAAAAAAAATCCTCTTCCAACGAAGTTTCGTCAGCACAGGTCTATCCCAACGAAATTTGCTAGATTAGATCTCTACATTTCGTTGCCAGAGGTAAATTTCGTCGAGAAAGGTCTAATCTGGCAAAGTTCATCGGGATAGACCTGTGCCGACGAACTTTCGTCAGGAGACTTTTTTTCACTTTATAATTTTTTTTTAATTTTAAACATATAAAATTAGTGTATTTACTCCTCTTTTTTTTTTTTTTGCCAACTTCTTTAGTTTAATATATGTAATTAAGTAATATTTGGTTGAAATTTTTTACACATTATTTCTTTAGTGAATATTTAAATATTTTACACATTTCATAAACTACTTAATAAATAGTAATTAATTTTTTAAATTTTTTTTTAAAATTTTTTTTATACAAAATTAGTTTGGGTAAATCCAAGTCTCGAAGAAAAAAACCCTAGCCTCATAACTTGTTCCAAAACCTTTCTTGAGCCTCAAACCCTAACCATAAGCCTACTAAGGAGTATATACTTTCTCTTCTTTTCCAATGTGGGACTCAAGTTTATGTATTTCAATCAAACTCCAACAAGTGGTTGATATTGGTTGTGACTTGGATTTAAGTTTCGAGGGTAAAATCCATTTTTGGAATACTAAAATATTTTGGTACCAAAACCAAATTTCTAGGATTTGTATTAAAATATTTAATACTAATTAATCACTAAAGAAATAATAATTAAAACATAACTACGAATGAAAGTATTTAAATAAGGCTAAGATATTATTTAATTAATAAAAAAAGGAAATTTTAAAAGGGATGTTTTAAGAGTATAGCCGCGCGGCGATAGTTTTCTATTTAAAGAATATAGCCGTACGACTGTACTATATAAATAGAATATTCTAGTAGTGTAGCCGCGCTAATATATACTATAAATAGAATTTTAAGAGTACAGCCTCACCCCAAAATTTCTTTTAACATTCTGCAATTCCTGTGCAGATGTCGATTTCTCTGTATTATTAACTCAAGTTCAAATTGAAAGATAACTGTTAACTCATTCACAAAAGAAGGACAATATCATAAGTCACAATATACTAACTTGAGAAGAATATATAATAGGCTGGGTGGCACAATGCATCATTTTCTACTTGCTTAATTGATTTCATAGTTTTCATTAACATCTTACCCAAATTATTTCAATCTCGATCTCGGATCTTATGAACTTCTAGCTCTAGTGGTAGAACACTTACACGTTTATAGTAATTTTTGTTCAGGCGATCATCCTTTTTTTCCTTTTTTATAAATAGTATAGCCGTGCGGCTATACTGGGGTTTTTAAAAAAATAAACAAGAGTATAGCCGATCGGCTATACTCGGGATTTAAAAAAACAGTATAGCCGGTCGGCTATACTATTTTTTTTTTATTAACCATAATATAGCCGATCGGCTCTACCTGTTTTCACACATCGCTAGGCAGTTTTTTGCTTATTTATACATTTCTCTATTTTATACATAGTATAGCCGATTGGCTATACGTGGAATTTAAAAAAAAATTATAGTCGGCTTTTGTTGTTTTTAAACAATAGCATAGCCACGCAGCGTTACTGGGTCATTCTTTTTAATTTTATATATATATAGTATAACAAATACACCATAAAGTGATGGGCCCATAATCGGAGTCCAATCCAATTACGGATTAGCAAACATGCTCTCCTCAAGACCATAAACCAACTCTTTCAGATCCTCAATCTTATTTAATTGAACCCTGCATTGAGAGAGAAAGATACCAGGTCAACCATGGCAATTATTAGGCCAACTAGATGATGATTCTCAAGCCTCCTTTAAATGTTCAAGGTTGTGTGTTGATAAATTGTAAGGTGAAGAGATATGAAAGATGATGAAAAAAGAAAGATGGGTGACAGCCATGGCAGGCTGTGGGGATGGAAGGCTTCGCAGGCGAGGAACGGTTGCGGCTGCCTTTTTTCTTCTATAATTTCTCCAGTGTATATCAATCAATCAAGCCAAACATGATACGAATAATAAACCGATTTGGTTAATACTGAGTCCTCCAAGTATTTAATTAATGGTGGACTAATATATGACACGAAAACGAAATGTCATGATTTCAATGCATGAAAATTTTGAGTAACCAGAAACAAGTAGCATAAAAAGGTTTGACATTATTAACTTGCTTTGGATGACAATTACTTCACCAATAGTCATGGTTTTTGTCATCACAGATGACAATTACTTCACCAATAGTCTTATTAGAGTAAATAAAATTACATAACCCAACGTAAGATCTCCTCAGAAATCATATAAAGTCCTGATGACAAACCAGCTAAATTCAACCAGATGATCTTCGTTCGAAGAGCTTTCCCAAATCATTACACCCCGAAAAACAGCATAGTCAATGTCACCACTCCCTGCAATTCCAGAGCAGAAGAGAAACCATGTAAGAAAATCATGTCCAACAAAAATCGCCAAGTTAAACGAACAAAAACACTTTTGATATTGAAGAAACATAAATACATTGATAGCAGCAGTATTTTGTAAATGCATGTCAGCACGAGATGGACAGTGAGTCCAATTGGAACCCCAAATCATGTTACACAAGGTGAACATAAAATTTGACCAAATGATCAGCTCTATAGCGGACCTGCTCAAATGCAAGGCAATGCAGACAATAGTGGTGAACATAGTCAATTTATTTATTGATCATCAATTGGCAGATGGAAACAAAGAATCTGTATCTTGAAAAGAAGTTATGCATCATGTAAAGCTTCATCAGTTGAAGAGCACCAGCAGCAATGTTAATGTCACTAGGCCACACAAGGTTTTAGAGACACAATGCAAACAAAAAAGTGATTTTGTTGGCACTTTCGATGTAGACAATTATGGTTAGACTATTTTGTTGTTGGCAATCTTAGTATGAGTCAATTAAGAACAATTAGTGGGTATGAAACTGGATCGTCAGGCCGACCTCTATCTAACAAATAGTTTTAACTGTTACTGCTCAATTTTAGTTAGACATTTCATCGAACACTTGGTGGGTATTTTGTAAGTGAATACACAGACCAACTTTATTTAGGCATTTGGTCGAACACTTGGTGGGCATGCGAGCAAAACCATAATTCACAGCCCTTAGCATCAAATACTACCGAGAGAAAGAGCAAGAAATGATACCGATGAATATTGCTCATGATCCGCGCCTGCCGTTTTGATGATTTGCTCAAACACATGTTAAGAACCTAACCGGCCTGCAATTCACCACGCTCATGACATTATTGATATTGCAAATACATCAGCTAGAGCCAGAGAGAGATGATACCTCATGCGGCGGATATCGGACATCTCTTCTGGATCAGACTTCAGTTTTTGGTTGTCTAGCCGAAAGACGACCCGTCCGTAGTCAGCGAAATACTGCGCTGGAAAGATCTTCGTGGTGGTACCAGCAGCAAGTATCGCAGTGACATGAATGCTTCTGGGGCCCAAATAAGCCATTCGATCCAAAAATTTCATCCCTCTGATCACTTTGCGATTCCCATTTTGCAGCCTAGCAACTAGTTTGCCTTTCCCAACATCATCTCCCTTCTCGACCTCTCGTATCTCAACAACCACTCCCGTATTGTTTACGAGAGCAGTCATTCGAGCAAACAAATCCGCCATTAATCACACAGGAGGCAGCTGCCACGGGCTCTTAGTACTTTTAGCCGTGGATAAAAAATAAAAATAAAAATAAAAATCTTTCTAGATCCCCAGATGACCCAGTCAAAAAAACTTGATGAATATTTTCAGAAAAGATTGATCCCATCGGGATTTGAACTCCGAACATCCTACAAACTATGAATTGCAAATCAATCCCACTACGGTAACAATTGCTGTAATGTAATGAATGTACAATGTTATATTTAACTCTCACACCGAAATAAAGAAATATATCATATATACTTATTTGAGGACATCAAATCGCAATTTCTTGTAAACAAAATATTTGAGGCTGTACTCTTCTTTAGTTTAATATATGTAATTAAGTAATATCTTAGCCTTTTTTAATGACTTTAATAATTAATTATGTTTTAATTATTATTTCTTTAGTGAATATTTAAATATTTTACACATTTCATAAATTAATTAATAAATAGTAATTAATTATTTTAAATTATTTTGTGGAAATTTTTTTTATACAAAATTAGTTTGGGTAAATCCAAGTCTCGAAGAAAAAACCCTAGCTTCCGAACTTATTCCAAAACCTTTCTCGACCCTCAAACCCTAACTATAAGCCTACTAAGGAGTAGATACTTTCTCTTCTTTTCCAATGTGGGACTCAAGTTTTTGTATTTCAATCAAACTTCAACAAGTGGTTGATATTGTCTAAGTTTCGAGGGTAAAATCCATTTTTGGAATACTAAAATATTTGGGTACCAAAACTAAATTTCTAGGATTTTTATTGAAATATTTAATACTAATTATTCACTAAAGAAATAATAATTAAAACATAATTAATTATTAAAGTCATTAAAAAAGGCTAAGATATTACTTAATTACATATATTAAACTAAAGAAGAGTACAGCCTCAAATATTTTGTTTACAAGAAATTGCGATTTGATGTCCTCAAATAAGTATATATGATATATTTCTTTATTTCGGTGTGAGAGTTAAATATAACATTGTACATTCATTACATTACAGCAATTGTTACCGTAGTGGGATTGATTTGCAATTCATAGTTTGTAGGATGTTCGGAGTTCAAATCCCGATGGGATCAATCTTTTCTGAAAATATTCATCAATTTTTTTTGACTGGGTCATCTGGGGATCTAGAAAGATTTTTATTTTTATTTTTATTTTTTATCCACGGCTAAAAGTACTAAGAGCCCGTGGCAGCTGCCTCCTGTGTGATTAATGGCGGATTTGTTTGCTCGAATGACTGCTCTCGTAAACAATACGGGAGTGGTTGTTGAGATACGAGAGGTCGAGAAGGGAGATGATGTTGGGAAAGGCAAACTAGTTGCTAGGCTGCAAAATGGGAATCGCAAAGTGATCAGAGGGATGAAATTTTTGGATCGAATGGCTTATTTGGGCCCCAGAAGCATTCATGTCACTGCGATACTTGCTGCTGGTACCACCACGAAGATCTTTCCAGCGCAGTATTTCGCTGACTACGGACGGGTCGTCTTTCGGCTAGACAACCAAAAACTGAAGTCTGATCCAGAAAAACCGTATTTTTTGGTGAGTATCCTCCTCTAAAAGGGTTATTAATCCTAATGGTCCCCCAACTATTGCTCTAGTATCATTTTGGTCCACCAACTAAAATTTTCATTTGAACTGTCCTTCAACTCTTTTTTTTTTGTATCAAGATGGTCCAATTGTTAAAGTCTGTCAATTTTATTGTTAAATTGAGGGGTAAAAATGTTTCTATGAATTTGTTTGTGCCTGATAAATCACGGTCGTGCGCTGACCGAAGGGGTTTTCCCCCTCGGCCTTAGCACATGTTCGAGATCCAAAACGCAACGCTTTTACCTTCCTCAAAACATAGGAAAAGTTGCGAGGGCATAGTCATCTCGGCCTTGCGAACAAGGTATCGTCAGGCCGAGGCCGAGGGACGAAGGGGACACGGCCGAAGATATTAGGAGTCAAATCGTCACATAGCAGCAGGGTCCCACGCTTCATTTAATGAAGTAACGCCTCTGACTAGCAAACTCACTAGCCGCAAAAAGGGCATTTAATGCATGAGGGAAGAAGGGAAGTGACTAAAGTCAGGATTTGGTGACAGAAATCAGAGTGGTTAAGCGCCAACATGCTCACAAACATTCTTACAAATTGAGGTCAGATCGCCAACCACCAAACAAGGGCATTAAATGCGTCCCCACGGCCAGAAGCGCAGAACCCACGATCAGGGCGGCGGCCGAAATTTACCGTGATTCATGGGGTCACACCACCATGCTTCACGATCCCAAATGTCGATTAGACTACCCACTTGCTCTGATCAGGCTCCACCATGCAGATTTTTAGCCTCGATTACTCCTCCAGGAGCTCCTCCTACAAATACCAAGTTCAAGCTACATTCAAGAGGTTCAAACACCAAACCAAAGCCTCCCACGGAGCAAATTATATTTTCCTGTAATGCACTTTCAAAATCTTTATTTGCTTTCCTAGGAGTAATGTTAGTTTGTAAGGAAAATCCGTTCATCAATATATCATACGACCCTTTATTTTCAAGGCGTCGGAGCACCATCTCTGTTACTCTTTCATTCACCCCATATATCATACGATCGTCGCTCACTGAGCAACGTGCCGGAGCAACGCCCAAAACCCACCATCCACACCACCACCAAACAGCCTTGTAGCTCAGGCCGTGAACCTGACGGCCGAGATCAGTTCCTCTCTCGGCCACAATCGTTTGATTAGAAGTCGAATTCAAACAGGCGCACCACTTAACCATTTTATCCAAACCACATCTCGACGCACGGTAGACTGTGCTGTCACGCCCGCGCACAACCGCATCGCATTCAAAAGAAGGAAGCCACGTGTTAACGCACGTCCCTTCGGCCCGGAGCTCCAGGCTGTGAGATTTGCGCAGCCAACACTTTTTGCACGCCCGGTGGAATTCTTGTCAAAAACTCATGGTGGAAACTAGGGCACAGCCAAAGCTTAAAAACAAAGCAGTCGAAATGACTTCTGAGACTCCTGAGTCCACCTCACCAATCACTGTCACCGAGACCGAACACGCGGTCAGAACCTCGGCCAGCGTCCCAGTGACGACGGATCGCACGGCCGAGTCCATACAAGAGCAAGCCGTGGTGGAAGATCTCATGTCCAAGCAGGCCCAAAGGATAGAGACATCCTTTATGGCCGCAATGGACAAATTTTCCTCGGAACTACGGACGCTTTTCCAGGAGAGGATGCCGGCGACCTCGCCCGCAACACCTCCTAGAGCCGGACAGAGAAGCCAAGAGCGCGAAAGGATCGAGCCTTACGGCAAAAGCAGCAGCCTCGACATCTCTGGCCGAACCCAAGGGTCAGGTTTCGATCAGCATTCGCTGCCGCTGAAGAATAGCTGTGGGCAGTCTCAGCCCACATAGGCGCATCCCGGACCAAATTACCCGGCAGAGACGGCATACGGACCACTCCACGCTTTGGCCGTATCCTTGGGACAAACCAGTCCCACGCATTTCGCGGTCCAGCAACTCGGCCTAGTTCACACCGTGGCCGGCCAGACCCACCCTGGCCCATGCGATGCGACCCCTGCTTCATTACAACAGGACGATCAGAGAATCACGGCCGTGGCATCGCCGTCGCAGGCGTACGGTTCGGCCACTCCAACGTCAACACAGACGCGCCCAAGTTTCCGTCACCGGAATGATGCCATCCCACGGAGCCCGGTAACCATACTACCGTGGCCGAAGGACCGTATGCACCCTAGCCAAACCCATGGTATTCGTCTTGCGCAACCTGGCTCGGTTGTAGCAACCGAGCCCCTTAATCAAACAACCCAACCGATCAGGTAACAGAGCAAAGCGCCATAGGTCCAGCGGCCATCCGCAGTCTGGCTAAAGCCGCCCCCTCAGGGCCCTTGGGTCGGAGATGTCCGGCGTATGACCGAGAACGGCTTAACCCGAAGCCGGCTAGAGGCACTAAGGTACACTGAGCCATACCCTTTAGGAAATCCCAGGGCTTGGTACGATTTGCTCCCTAAGGTTTTTTGGGCATACCGCACATCGAAACACTCTTCCACGGGCACATTTCCTTAAGTCTTGGCCTACGACCGTGACACTGATAAACTAATGGAGCTAAATGTTCGATTTCTTCGAGTTTTCAAGAGACTTAGGAAGAAGGTAAAGGACTACATGCAAACCATGCCTCGGAGTTTTGAAAGTTTAGAAAAATCAAGTCTCGACGCTTACAATTCGGTGCAAGCTCAAGAAATAATGGCACCGAGGACCTACGACAAGAAAGTTAAAAAGAAGAAAATGGGGAAATAGGCGAACGGGCTAAACAAACGGTGCAGCCAAAGTAAAAAGGCAAAGAATGCATTTAATCTTTCAGAGAAAAAAAAAAAAAAGAAAAAAAAAAAGGGCCCTTGCCATATATTTAGTTTAAAGGGTTGTTCTTTACAAACGAGTAAACGGCAAGCTATGGCTGATTAGAGAAAGATATACAGATGTGGTACAAAGAAAAAAAAGAGGAAAATATATAAATAATGTATATTGTATTTAATTATTACATCCCCAGAATTTTTAAAACGATCGCCCGCCTAGGCCCCTTCGCTGAACATCCCCCAGATCAGGCAAGTGATCCTTCTCCAAGCGATATCCCCGCCGTCTATGTCCGCCTGCCATCTCGCCCGGATAAGCTTCCATTCAGCCAAAGCCTTCTTCGTCTCAGTCGCTGCTTTAAGGATTTGCCTGGCCAAAGACTTCAGCTCGGTCCCGACCACAACTGCACCATCTCGGCGCTGAAGTATAAGATCTCGACGGGCTTGGAGCTCGGCAATCTGAGCCTCAACCTGCGCGAGTTCTTCATTCTCCCGTCGGACAACGAGGTCATTTTCTTTCAATCGGGCCATCGCAGGTCGGACTTGTTCCTTTATCTCCACCAGTTCTTGCTCGAGCGAGCTTCCATCGGCCATCCTCGTAATAGCTTCAGCATACCGAACGATCATTTCCTCGCCTTCGGCCAAGCGAGCCTGTAACTCATCCAGCTTAGCCAAGTTTAGCAGACCGAGCGCCATAGCGATATCCAGGCAGGACCTAAACTCCA